TGATAAGGCGACTTGAGTTTGTTGATCCAATAGATTAACCTTAAAATAACATTTCCTTATTTTCGCAAACCTATGATTTGTTACCGACAAACAGTTACAACTGTATTACTCAAGGCTGTTAAGAAAGTTTATGTGTTACTTATCTGACTTTGTCTGGTGTAGCTCACTGTTTCATCCTTTTTATACTCCGCATCAAACCGCCGCCATCATGGCACCACCAAGCCGCATTGAAACCAACCAAATGAGAATTCCCGCGAACTGACCGCATAGGGTGACAAAAGCCCCAAATAAAAATATTCGCAAAAGCATCCCTATTGTAACCCAAACACTTAACAGCCTCGCATGCCAGAGCAAATTGCAATGTAAATATGCTGCGTCATTTTATGAGTTTGGTTTTTTGGTACCACGAGAAATACAACTTGGGTAATAATATTATCGCCATAATTATCACATTGTAGGCTCTCTCCTAACGTCTGCTATTCGAGCCAAGGCCCTCCAGATACTCATACCCTCCGATCTAAGGACAACCCTGGAAAGGTTACATAAATTTGCTGCAGCTAACAGGATGTCCTTGGCATCAGGTCGTTCTCGGGTTGGCTACTAAGTTCTTCAAACTGCTGTTCATTTTGCACTTGCGTTTCATATTTGAGTAAGGGATTCTAGCGAGTTACCCACTCACCAAGTCTGCGTGTAGCCTACTGGAACAAATTAACGGGTGAGGGTCCAACTCGGTCCTAGTTATAGGGTATTTGTCTTGTTACGATCATTTCTTACGTGGGAAACAGTTCTCTCTAGATTGCTGTTGCCGCTGTGAAGACCTAACCTACGCGATTCGCATTCTGCGAGGTGACCTGGATAGCACACTTTATCAGTACTTCCGGATCAACAAAAGTATCACAACGCGTGGACACACTTAGAAACACTACAAACCAAGGTGGCGTCAAGTTCGCCGAGAGGTCACCTTGAATATCCGAGTAGTGCATGCTTGAAACAAAATACCACTGAGTGTGCTATCAGCTGCCACTGAGGAATGTAGCAACAAGTTATTGGATTTCCACTTGCGTATGTATTAACAACTTGCTCGTATTCGCGTACATGCGCTCACCCACCTTGAACAGGTCTCCTCAACACGCAAGATCCTCAGTCCATTCTGGAAGTGATAAAGGTTATCATATATTCTTGCTATAATTCAAGGTTACTAATTTGCATAGGTATACACTGATTCTATACAAATTCTATACAAAACGCATTCCGTCTGGTGGGTTTTCAGGTGGTCAGCCGGAAGTTATTTTCCGCCCTATCAGAACCAATCCTGATGGCGCACGACCCAGGGATGGTCGTGCCGACTTCCTTGAGGTAGTACTTAACAACGTGCGTAGCCTAAGCAACAAGGTGCACGAGTTGGGGCTACTTGTAGAAGAATCTCGTCCCGACATACTTGCTTTCACTGAGACGTGGTTGTCTCCGGATATCACGGACGGTGAGGTATATTTACCTGGCTACGCGCTGCTTTGAACTGATCGCTCCGTTGGTCGCCAAGGCGGAGGCGTTGTACTGTATGTGAGCTGTAACTTAGAGGTGTTGAGGACTTACACATTCCAGTCGTCGGATCAGACTGTTGAAGCCCTATCGGCTGTTTTGTGCACTTCCTCTACCCAGTTTATAGTTATAGTGATATACAGAAGTCCTGGAAGTTCCTCCAGGGGGATACTTGACTTTATTCGCACTCAGTCTGCGAATAAGTGTTTAGTTCTAGGGGATTTCAACCTCCCGGAAGTCTGTTGGGCCGATCTTTCTTGCAATTCGGCATTAGGAACATTCGGTGCAGACTTCCTTGAACTGACTCTCCAAGTGCCTTTGCACCAGTTCGTTGACTTTCCCACTAGGTATATGGACAACCAAATACCATCTACTTTGGATTTGGTTTTCGCTAAGTCCCTGGACTTCGTGACTGACGTTTCATGCGGTGCACCTCTAGGGTCTAGCGATCACGCATGCATATCCTTTCGATGTGCTCTTTCAAGGCACCAAGAGACCGCTGTTGAATTACTTCCGAATATTTGGCGGGCGGACTTTAGTGCAATGCGAACTAAGGCTTCAGTTCTGAACTGTGAGATCTCGATGGCTGACTCTGTCCAGTTAGCCTGGGATAAATTTAAGGCATACCTTACGGAGGTTTCCACTCCCTATATTCCACTCATGAGGAAAAGAGGGTTAAGGGCACAGCCTCCATGGATAGATACCACAGGCAAGTTCCTACTCAAGAAACGGTCTAGATGCTGGCGAACCTACCAAGCAGCTCCATCAGCCAGTACCTATGATAGTTATCGAGAGAATAGAAATAAATGTAAGCAACATCTCAGAACTGCTCGTCTCCAATACGAGCAGGGTTTAGCGGACTCGGCCGCAGCTAATCCCAAGAAGTTTTTTGCTTACGTTAAAAGACGCAGCGGGGCAAAACTGTCTATACCAGCTTTATTGCGAGCAGACGGGACCCGTGCGCAAACTGACTATGACAAGGCTTTAATACTTAGTGATCAGTATACTGGGGTCTTTGCTCGGGAGACCTCTTTACCACAGGTTGAATTGGTTTCAAGAGTTCCAGAGGATTCTTGCTTAGCTGAATTTAGCATAACGGAGACTCAGGTCTTCGAGCTACTGCAAGGCATTAATCCCTCTAAAGCTTCCGGTCCTGATTCAATTCATCCGAAGCTGTTGCATGAACTGGCCACTGAGCTGAGTGGTCCGCTCACGTGCGTATTTTTAATATCGCTGTACAGCTGCAGCCTACCTTCGGAATGGAAGGAGGCGATCATCTGTCCGATTTTTAAGGGCGGTGACAGCGCTCTACCCGCGAACTACCGGCCTGTCAGTTTGACAAGCGTAGTAGTCAAGTTGTTCGAGAAGCTGATAAGGGATTCAGTGGAGAACCACCTGAATCGATTCAACCTTCTCAGTGTTGCACAACATGGATTCCGCAAAGGATTTTCATGTCAGACTAATTTACTTGTAGCTCGTGAAAGCTGGGCCGAAGCGGTAGACAGTGGCCACGCTGTAGACGTGCTATTCGTAGATTTTTCGAAAGCTTTTGACACTGTTCCACATCTTCGGCTCTCACTAAAGTTGAGATCTTACGGGATATCTGGTCGCGCCCTTCAATGGGTGTCTGCCTTCCTTGAGGGGAGGGAACAGTGCGTACGGGTGGGGCGTAGCCTTTCGCTCAGGCAAGCTGTCCTTAGTGGCGTTCCGCAGGGCTCGGTATTGGGGCCATTGTTGTTCGCGATCTATGTAAATGACTTGCCGGGAGAGCTAGGGGTGTCATCATTAATGTTTGCTGACGACCTTAAGCTCTGGAATATTGTGGATATCCCGGGGGGTCCTGAGGCAATTCAGCGTGCCTTGGATAGGCTCTGGGAATGGTCTATCTTATGGTTGATGCCCATAAATAGGGCGAAGTGCTCTGTTCTCCGAATCGGAGCTGCAAATCCTGCCACCCGATATGTTGTCGGCGGTGGTGAACTCCCTGTTGTCACTCAGCAGGTTGATTTAGGAGTCGTACATGCATCAGCACTTCATTCTGGAGACAACTGGAAGAAGGCTGCTTGTCGAGGGTTTCGTATGATGTGGTTTATCCGCCGCTCTTTCGGAATCTTAACGGCCAAGTTGTTTGTGAAGCTATTTTCGGCATTCGTCCGACCCCACCTGGAATATTGTATTCAGGCTTGTCCACCATGTCTTAACCGAGACAAAATGGACTTGGAGAGGGTGTTACGAGTGGGCACTCGGTTAGTGCAGGGTCTACGGGGACAGACGTATCCTGAACGCTTGCTCAGTTTGGGTATGTACTCCATGCACTACCGAAGGATAAGGGGGGACCTGATTCTCACTTATCGTATTTTGACGGGTAAGATTGGCCCGGACTTGTCAGGGCTTTTTAGTCCCGCTACGTTACCTAGTCTCCGCGGTCACCCACTGAAATTGCATAAACCACGGTCTGATAGGATTAGGACGGAAACTCGTCTATCGCGCCGAGTTATAGATCGCTGGAATTCTCTTCCAGATCATGTGGTTAGGGAACCTACAGTTAAGGGTTTTGCGCGCCAGCTCGATGCTCTTGGGTGGCAACAGCAAACCTTTCCTTTTTCCTAGCCGACTCACCTTCACTTTTCAGTTCTTTTTTATTGACTCAAATATCTTGGTATTCCACTTGCTTAGCTCTTACCACTTTCTCTTTTGCCTTCTGCGTTTACTTTTTTCTCTTTCTTACTTCACGTAACCGACCCAGCAGGGACTGCTAGGGCAGGATACGTGGGCATTAATTGGTTGGACAGGGTGTGATGCGGTCTTTGTTTTAGGTCCATCAGTATTTCAAAGTTCGCTAACTCCTGGTTCAACGACCCGCCGAAGAAGGAACACTCACGGGATAATCCTATCGTTCCAGTCCCGCTTGAACTTGAACTTTTATGCATGTTCTTTTCATACTATTTTTAATTAAATAAACTAGTTAAGTCAACTCAGGTTCCCAGAACGATATGGGCTTCGACTAACGAACGTCCTGCTGCTAGCACCGGCACTAAATGAAGAGCCCCGGTACTTAGACTTCCAGATGCATTTCTAGCTTCTGAAAAGTAAACGAAGCATAAAGAAACGATCTTGCGTCTTCATCCATCATGAGTTCTCAGCAAAGAGCTGCAACAAGTGTATAATATTTTGGGGAAAAATTTAACCGACAGCATCTAAAAGTCAATGTTTATGATCCGTTCTAAATATTATTTATTCTTATCTTGCACAAGTATCTGTTTTTCCAACATAATAGAATCAAGCATATTTTAGCAACTCGCAGTGCAGAGGCTATTTTCGCTTACTGGCACACGAAACAGACGCTCGATAAGCGGAAGATTGTTTCGTCCTTGGAACCTGTCCCTCGTGTTCTGTTCTACTTAAATTTATTGAACTGGTGCTTGATGTACCATAAAATGTTTCCATAGAAACCGCTTTCCGATGCTCTGTTAATACTCGGTGTCCGTTTCTCTGTTAACTCCTTCGAGTTACGCTTCGTCTGAAGACGAATTTGGACGTGGGTGCTCAGGTTGTTGCTATAGGGGGCTGTTGGATACCTTGTTCCCCGGAATGTCCGGCGGGGATGATGTTCCCGTGGACGGAATCGATCGAGATAGGCAGCATTTCATGAGAACACTTGCCTCTTTCAAGTTCTTTGGGTAATTACAACTTCCACTCTAGGATTTTAGGATCCATATGCAAAAGCGGGTCGAAAAGGCTGTATCCTACTTTCACTCTTTCGATGCTTGTCAGCAGTCCCTCATTCCCGAATTCGAAAAGAGCATGGAGAAAGTGCGCTCATGCATCACTCATAATGATGAACTTATTACCAAGATAATTGAGCATTCAGCCCCTGATATGTTCAACCGCGATAATGTACGTGTGCTCGTCATTTTTCACCCTTCGTTCAGGGTGAGTATACGCTGGACACTATTGACCATCCGGGAGTGCAGTTGACGGAAACCAAAAGGCTGTCATACAAGGCCAGTAAGGTTTCCAGGTTAGGACCCTTTGCATTCACGACGAGTGATATGGATAAGGTCAGATCAACCCTTAAACAGTTCGCAAGAGATTGGTCTTCACTCGGAAAGCATGAGCGTGACGTGTGTTATCAGCCAGTTGTCGATGAAATTGACGGCATTTATCGCTGTCGAGATGTGTAAGCAATGGTTTTACTCTGCTTTGTTTGCTCGATCTCCACCCTTTTACTTTGTGTAAAATGTATCATCCATCTACTGTGAGTGCTCTTTCGCACAGACAAGCGGGCGCTCGTTGCTGCTGCACTTGCCCGCGTCTACTACAACATTTCACACTTCGGTAAGGTTTGTATGTGCTGATTGGATTAGCAGCTTAACGGCCAAGCGAAAGCGAGCGGGAGAACACGCGAAAATAAGCTAGAAAAAGTCTGCTGAAAGCTCGTTGAACTAGCACCATAAAACAGATAAGTAAGGAAGAGCCGGCCCGTAGCCTTAAGGATCACAAGCCTGCATTGTAATCCGAGGACACGAATTCGAGCCAGCTTAGGGACCTTGCAACCCTCACGGTATCATCAGTCCACTTGCGACTTGGCGGTTGCGCGGCAACGAAGCGTCGGTACTGCGTGCCAGCGTACTATGATGCCATTTAGCTAGCGAAGATGTAAACGGGTGCTGAGTGCAAAAATTTTTGGTCATGTCCGTGGGAGAGCAGCGGATGCGTGTGTGGTTGGCTTAACCAAGCGTGAGCAATGCTCAAACAGACCGCTTCTTAACCTAATACATAAGATTATTGTGGAATATTTACACAGTCAAACGTAGGAAACCTAAAGAGGAGTACTACGGATCATAGTGCAGTGTTGCGTTTCTGAAATATTTGCATGTGTTTAGTGTCTCACCGTTGTCATCATCAGCGGCATTACATCAGTAATTTGAGCCGCTGTTTCCCTACTGCTCAACAATAGCTGCCTAGTGAATGAGGGGCATTAAAAGTGAAGGTGAGCCTAGTGTAATACCCAATTGAGGTAAGCGAGTCTTCGAAGTTAGGGCGCTTACACCTTATCAGCAACACACGGTCACAGGTCAGCTTAGGTTCCCAGAACGGTATAGGCTTCCGCCTAACGCGCATCTTGCTTTTTGCACCAGCAAGCAACCAAGGGCCCCGTTACTTCGACCCTCAATTACATTTCTTGCTTCTGCAAAGAAAACGAAGCAAGAAGAAGCAGTCTTGTACCTTCATCCTTCATGAGTTCTCTGCAACGAGCATCAATAAGTTTACAATGTTTCCGGAAAATGTTCTAACCAATATCCGTCTATACCTCTCTTGAAGGCGTCAACCGTTGTACAGGTAGGTGACCATATTGGGAAGAAAATCTGATACCAGTGGACCAACTTCCATGCCCGTCGCAATGAGACTGGACCTTAACGTGGCGCGAAAGTTTGCTTACCTTTGATTCATTTAGCTCTAATGAGTGGTTTTTCCGGGCCTCTTGAGATGTCATTGGTTAGAGGACAGACAAGCTCACTCTCTTGGCCCTCTATGGAGGTTAGAAATGGGATGTTGTCTACTTCTGTAAGACCAAATCATTGTCTTGTGGACAGGCTTTGGATCCCAAAGACTAATCATTCTTCTCTCTAGATCTAGACGCCCTGGCAATATCAGTCCACATACAACCATGACTATTTCCTCAAACTTTAACCACATCCTGCGTTGGCCGTCGCGCAGTTTATCAAGGGTTGCCGTATCTGTTACATCATCATCAACAGCAGTACATCAGCCATTTGATCTGATGCTTCGCTGCCATACAACCATGAGGACCTATGAAAACCTTAATGCCCTAAGCAAACATTCAGGGTCAAGGCGCCTACACCATGTGTAGACAACATACCGTCACAAAGCAGCTGGCTATCGTGCAAAGATAAGGCGACATCGGCGAGACAGCTTCCTTGCGGCTTTCACTGCCACGCGTCATAATCAGCCATTACCCCGCAGATAACTCAGCACCAAACACACTTTAAACAGACAATCCGATTAGAAGACGGCGGCAGACGCGCCACTGGTGTCGGTTGCGAGCCATGTCCTGTAAAGTCTCGAGCCAAGCACAAGGTGAGTCACGTGGACTCCAACCCGGAAGGCGAGACGGACCAACGGCACCCAGTTTGGTCGTCAGTGACTTCATTTCCCGCTTCCAAGTCAACTTCTGTCCACCTCGAGCCTTGCGCCATCCTACACCTGGTAGACTGAACAAGGGCCTCCTAGGTAAGCGGTGACCAGGCATGCGTAGCACGTGCCCGAGCCAACGCAACTTATTCAGTGCTATCTGTTGTTCTAGGGAGCTAGCATGATTATCACCACCTAGTACTCGTCTATGCACATCATCGTTGCGGACACGCTGGTGCCATCCGACTCCAGCAATGCTTCGCAGACAACAATGATCAAAGACTTGAAGCGCCTCTGATCTTCAGATCGAAGGGGCCAAGTTTCACTCCCATAGAGCAGACCGGCCCTCACTGTGGCCTTGTATACACGGCCTTTCAGACGGAGGGAAACTCCCTTCTGTCGCGAAAGATGACGCAGGTTCAAGAAAGCAGCTCTGGCCTTTGCAATGCCTGCGCTGATGTCAGTTTCTATGCGCCCATCTGCTACATACAGCAGTGTGAATATGCGGAAACATGCTACTGCTGGCGCTTTCTTTCCTTCCTATCTGTTTACCCTACCTACCTCACAATTATAACTATTCTTCCCTTTATATTTCCAAGGTTAATTGACTGCAACCGCAACGCCACTGCAGTTCAATCTGCAGCCATCTTCCCGTTCCACTCACTAGTGACCTATCGGCAACAGCCCCTTATAAGGCCCCACTGTCTCGTTTCCGTTTCCGTGTTCAACTTTGGCACTCTGAGACAAATATTTCAACAAGCTGCACTCGCAGGCACCTTAAACACGCTGGGTATTGTTGTGTACGGGACTAGGATCAATGACTTTCACGGGGCTATTGAATTGATGACTCCCGATTTGGCTTTGGCTATTGTTGTTGCACGCATCCAGAGACGCTGATGCGGCAACCACTGACCAGGCTGGTGTGGACATCGTCCTCAGCTTCAAGACTGAGGCATTGTTCGTTGGTTGGATTCCCCTGAGCAGCCGTTTGTGTGCAGTTTGTTTGACATTAACTAAGGTTGATTCAGGAAGTAGCACCAAACGCTCTTTGTCGATTATTTCTGTTTTATGCCCCCACTGACTGCGATTCACATGTTGCCAAGGACGCCTTCTACCGCGAACTAAACACGCAGCTTCGCTATTACCAGTTCAGTTATCGTTGTTGTTGGAGGGATATGAATGCGTAAGTGGGTCGTCTGAGTTCTTCAGAATCTCAGCTGTGTTAAGCATGCGCTTATCTGTAACCGTACGGACAACGGCGATCGTCTGCTGCAGCTGTGCGCGGAATACTGGCTGTTTCTTAGTATCACTGCTTTTAGACACAGTGGGCACGAACTAATACTTGGCCTCTCTATAGCTTACCAGCGGTGAATACAAGTAGATCACTTTGCCATAATTTGTCCTGGCTTTTCGCTCGTGTAGGAGTACTTGGGTCGGCTCTAATGATGTCTTGGTACGTTGTCGTTTTTCCATGAACTTTAGCGGGAGGCCTACCAAGCGCCCTCCTCGCTTGGAAACTTAGTACTTATCCCAACCCTCAGTCTTTGAAGTATACCAACATGTTCTGCGCAACGAACTTCCGCTCTCTTGTCCTAATGACATTGAACTTCGGTGGAATAGGATCTCTGCTGCCGTGCACGACGCGGGAGACTGCACCGCACCTGTCACTAAATATTCAAGAGGTTGGTGAACCTGTTGGAACCCAGAAAAATGCTCCCGACTGGCTCTGAGCACAATGTAAACAGACGGACTATTAGGCATGAGTTGAAGCGGAGCCTGTGTGCTGACGAGGAAGCTTGGTGTACCAGTAGGGCTGAAGAATTGGAGCAGGCGAGAGCAGTGGTCGATTATCGCAAGCTCTTCCGACTGATCCGCACCACTGGTCCCGGAAAAACAGACTATAGCGGGATCCATGGATGGGCGCTATATTCGCACAACCAGTCAGCCGTATAGAAACCGTCAAAAGGCAAATAAAACTATCGGGATATACGTTTATTGCCGAAACGTACAAGCTCGCTAAAATAACGGGCACTAAAAGGAAGGCTATCAAGAAAGAAGATAGAAAGGTTGCCCCGGGAGCGAAAGGGGACAACGTTCGGGTCGCGTCCCGGATGTGTGTATATAAACAAAAGTAGTCAATCTGCGACAAACTGCCTACTTCTCCTGGGTACGGATAAAACTATAATTTGGTGATACTTTACACATACGGCACAATCTCCGGATTGCTATACAGCTATATACAGAGGGAAACCGTGACTGACCCTACGATATATGTGAAGACAGTTCGTCACTAGCCAGTCTGCGGACCAGGTGGTGAAACCTGACGCAGCTGCTGGGTGAGTACTAGTGCGACCAGATCCTAGGGGCTCCTACCCGTGTCCTCTGCCGGTGCCAGAAAAAGGGAAAGCGTAATAATTGACCACACAGCATATGGCTACGTGATGTCCGGCGATGTTCAAGAGTTCTAGGATCGGGGATATGAAAAGGATATAAAAAGGAAGAACTCAGGCACGAACATTTTCTCTTCACATCAATATCAGGTCACGTAGGTACTCAGGTGGAAGGCCTAAATACAAGTTTTGACTGAAGAGGAAGCTGCATAATTCTTCAACAGTTTCGCGTAAATGTACATTTGTGAAAAGTGAGTCCACGTCTATCGAGTACATAAGCTCTGTATTTAGCGGCGTATGGTTCAGTGTCTCGATTATTTCGTAGCTTTTTAGGCCATATCATCATCATCATCAACAGCAGTACATCAACCATTTGAACTGATGATTCGCTGCCATACAACCATGAGGACCTATGAAATAAAAAATAAGAAGAGGGAGAGAAGGGGGACTTACCTGAAAACCTTAATGCCATAAGCAAACATTCAGGGTCAAGGCGCCTACACCTTGTGTAAACAACATACCGTCACAAACAGCTGGCTATCGTGCAAAGATAAGGCGGCATCGGCGAGACAGCTTCCTTTCGGCTTTCACTGCCACGCGTCATAATCAGCCATTACCCCGCAGATAACTCAGC